CCACCAACAATCATAAAGGTTCCTCTAGGCACAGTGGTACGCGAACTTCTTCCAGGCGACTCACGACGCGCGAAGGATGAATGGGAAGCGGAGGAGGAAGGGCTGGAAGGGCTCAGTCCCGAGGACCGTCATGCGAAGCTTCGGGATAACAGATGGGTGCATTATCCGCGGTATGCGGATGATAATGTCAATCGTGATGTGTTCAAACAGGCGGAGGCAGCTCTTTACCGCGAGGAGAGAGCCAGGCGCTGGGCTAGGAAACAGAGGCTGCTATCGCCTATCAATCTCGACTTGGACAAGACGGGGGAAGTCGTGATTTCCGATGATGCACCTCTTGGAATGGGCCAGCAGGAGTGGCTGGGACATATTGTCGCGCGGGGTGGCAACGGTGGGTTGGGCAATCCGCATTTCTTGTCACCCATCAGCCGTTCACCCAAATTTGCAACGCGGGGACACGAGGGTGAGCGTTTAACGTTATACCTCGAACTCAAGATTCTCGCGGATATCGGACTTGTCGGGATGCCGAACGCGGGCAAGAGCACTCTTCTTCGCGCGTTGACTGGCGGTCGGGCGAAGACTGAGGTTGCTGGCTATGCGTTTACTACACTTAACCCCATCGTTGGTGTAATTCGTGTAGCAGAAGATGGAACCTTCGAAGGCTCCCTTCAGGGTGAAAATATTTTCGATGAAACTGCTATTGAGGAAGAGCGCCTCCGGGAGCGCGAACTTTCCGACACAGAAAATGTCCAAGAACAACTGCGCTTAGAAGATCATTCACCTGATTTCCCCCGGCCTGACATAGAACCAGGTCACGACTTTGACGTTCATGAGACCTTTCGCTTCACTGTCGCAGACAATCCTGGGCTCATATCCGGTGCATCAGAAAATGTTGGTCTGGGTCATTCCTTCCTGCGCTCAATGGAACGATCCCTCGCACTCGTCTATGTTGTGGACTTGTCTCGCCCAGAACCATGGGATGAGCTTAGAGACTTGAAAGACGAGCTAGAGAAATACCAACCAGGCATGAGCGATAAAGCTCATATGGTTATAGCGAACAAGGCGGACTTGTTGGGTGGCGAAGGGGATCAGGACGCGGTCGAGGAGGCGCATAAAAAGCTGAGGAGGCTCGAGGAGTACGTCAAGACAGAGATGATCGTGAAGACGCCGGACGGCGAGCGCATACTCGATGTCATTCCTACCTCGGCAAAGATGAGTCAGAACCTCAAGAGGGTGGTTGTGCTCATGCAGAAATATGTCCAGCAGGCTAGAACGGTAAAGGTTTAGCGGTTCAACTATGTATGTAATCATTTCTTTCTCCCTTGTGATCGTGAACTGATGTATATGTTACAAAGCATTTACCATCAGGCAGTCATTCGAGCCCACTAGCCAGTTCTCGCGCCGGCATGTGTCGCTTTATTCCTGACAGGAAGGGCGATTGTAGCCCACATCTAAGTAGGCAATGTACAGGAGATGTACATACTGTTGTGAGCTGGGGGTGCGAAACAATGCGTTTCGTCCACTTCTATAGAAGCGGGCCCCGTGCCAATGATTGCTAGCGGGATATTTAGCTATAAGAGGACCTTATTCATCCCCAACCCGATGTCATGAACATATCTCGCGGTTCTCTCGATGCTACACGAATTTCCTCATCCGCCATGTAGCGTTGAGATGAAAACGATCTCATCGTTATTGCGAAGTTGGTAGGAACCTTCCCCTTCAAGCTCCCAATCCGTGTTGTTAATCAGCACAAGGATCCCTGGGCGGCTAGAGATACTATAAGGTAAAGATTCAGTAGAAATAGAGACAGCGCACATCGTCCCATTCTCCATAAACAATTCCGAGCGCTCTTTGAGTAAATGATCACGAAGGTGATAAATCAAGTACTCCAGATCTGCTGCCTTCGTCTCTCCTGTGGATGGCGTATTGTTGTATGATGATGAAGTAGATGAAGACGAGGACGGAGAAGAGTGCGTGGAATTATCAGATGGCACAAATGAAGGGATGAGAACCGATTGATTCCGCTCGTTGCCAAATAGTAACTCGAGTCCACCACTGAATACAAGTTTGATCGTCATCGTGCCAGCCATCGTGGATATTGTTCAAGTTGATCGATCCAAATATCCAAGCTCAAGAAAATGGATGAGTCATATCAATGGTATCAAAGCAGTCAAATGTCTGCTACAGTTTGTAGGGCATATGGTGTAGCTGGTTATCACATCCGCTTAGCATGCGGGGGGTCTCCGGTTCGAGTCCGGATTTGTCCACATTCTTTTGCTGTAGCTCGTGATTTTTATTCATCTACTTGGCATCATCTCGACATTTTAATATTGCATGACTCTCGAAAACTGAACAGAAGACGCGCTCCCCCCACGTTTTCAGGGACAAATATTAATGAAACGTGATGAATCTTCTGGCAAAGCGACTTGTTGCCACTTACTTTGTGGCTGTTCTCGAAGCCACACTGGCAGCTTTTCGCAGGCTCCTTCCCAGCCCCCGCCTCGAATGTCGAGTGGCGATATCTGAGGGACTTGAACTTAAATTGGTTGTTTGAGTGAATACCGTCCGTATGGTGATCGTGTTCGAATGTGCATACATGCAGAAGGCGAACTTGAAGAGGCCTGGCGGTGGAGATGTCACCAGACGTGTCGGAAAATGTAGGCCCTCTGTGAGGATAACGAGGTGAGGGGCCGGAGATGGCAAAGTAGAATTTCGTTAGGATAAACAAATTACTCCATTCACAACAAATCTAGAAGACATGGACTGGCTAGGAAGGCTAACTCAAACTTCATCTACGACAATATTGCTCCAGCTGAGCTCCCTGCGGGTGATTTGTAATAAAAAAGGAGCCACCAACTTTTTTTTCACAATTCGAAGGCCGTCACAGAGAAAAAAGCTGTGTGCGATAGTAACGGCTAGATTTGAAGCCGCTCGGCTGTGACCTCCTCGCGTCATCAATTTGAAGATTTGCATGATCCCGCCGGTAAAAGGATGCAGCAAGCGTGATCTTGATTTCTCTACCAGGAAACACTGTGGCGGTAAATCCCGTCATTGCAATTAGATTGGTCACGGGGGACAAAGCCGCATCCACCGATGTCCGCATGCAGGCGGAACGCGTGAGGCAAGAGGAGACAAGATAATGACTGTTTCGTCATCGAACACCGACAAGTAGAAGGTAACTGAAGAAGCGATACTGTGCTGAGAGCGCTGAACAGTCCTGCCATAAGGTCTGGATGCACCGAAGTAGAATTCGACCAGGTCTGGCCACCCAATCGGTCACGGGGCTGATCTACAAACGTGCTTGGCGGTCCCTCCGGTTCTAGTCATCATTTTTTTTCCATAGAAGGCCTACTCGTCTACTCCCACTTGTATTCTGGGTTGCGGAACAAGCACAGAGAAGTGATCACCCGGAGCAGAGCATATGCGTATCCTGCCATCAACCATTGAGTGTGAAGTCATGTTAACCAATGCATCGCACCGTGATCGTGTTTCACCTATTGACATTATCATCCTGAGCTGAGGAAGATCATTGGCGACAATTAAGAGCAATGACTAGCCTTCTAGTTCATAATGCGTCGGAAATTTCTAACCTCGCAAGGTCAATACGAAATAATGGTGCGGGTGAAATATCCAGAATATTGCCCATGCCTGCCGGGGGCTTTGATCGGGTGCTGTAATGATAATTGGTGAGGGGAGCATACGATCAATCATGGATAAACAAGGATCACTTACAATTCTCTGATACAGTAATAGTTGATCTAAAATATTGAATAGTCTGACAGGGCAAATTTGGGGACTCACAGGTGTATCGTAAAGCCAGCGTTCGAGAAAGTGCAGCGTGTTTTATTTGCCTACACATTTATAACATCTTCATTCGAAGTTGTGATAGTCGTGTCACATCGATGAGCTGACGAGGTACGTACAAGTTGCTATATGGAGTGGTTACTAACATCAGTAGCGCAGTCAGCCAATAAAGAATCGTTAATTGTTAGATATGAGAAGACTGTACGCACCGCCGACCACAAGAGCGCGCTGTTTGGGAAGTACTACTGTCGAGCAGCGTTTAAACTCCGCCTGAAGCCATTCAATTCAAATATTCGTTCCTAGACGTTCTAAGAAACGACGCGTGCGCCAGGCTTAGTATTCCTTCTTCTCCGCACTCACCCGCATATTCTTTTCAGAAGAAGATTCAAGCACATGTACCCATCAAACTCTACGTATTCCCGTCAATCAACACTATCATGAACACCTCGAATCTTGAGCCCCCAGAAGGAGCCGGAGGTAAGAGTGTACGATCTTACAACCTTGACAACCACCAGGCTATGTCCGAGGGGAAAGTGGACTTACTCCGACTCTATGTCTATGGGAAGAAAACTAGGACGGACCTTCGAGTCTCTGAGGATCGGTTGTGGAACCTCGCACGGGCTGCCCACAACAAGAAATGGGCTAGCCAACATGCGGACCCGAACTTTATCGCTTGAAGAAGTTGCCAACAACGAGTCTTACTTAGATGAACCAGATACCCCCCTGTTGCCGTGACATGCCTAGACCTTATTACAATAAGATAAGGCACACTTTCAGTTTTCTTAAATCCACTCACTCCTACGACTCCGGGCCACAAAGTAGGCGAAGCTCTGTTCAAAGCCAATTCCTGCTCGAAAGCTTCTACTACTAATACAGTTCCACCATCCTCATCTTTTACGCACACAGGTTTGATCAAAGACTCGGACACCGTTCTTACGAAATCCATGGCCCGGACTCAGCATTCGAAATACCTAGACTCATTCCCGATCTTGCTAAAGCACGAGTTCGTGTTCCGCTCACTCTTCTCACCAGGGCTCCATTCTGGGAATCCTTCGATCATCAATATGACGAAAGGTCTTGTCCTGAACGACCCGAAATTGAGTGTCATATGAATCACACTTTGTCTTCAGCCTTCTGGTATACAATAAGCACTCGCCCTGATCTTTGAATTAAGTAGGAACGACTGAGACTCTTCCTTACATATATCCATTCATGGAGCTTCAAGACGGACTTTCCTTTTGACAACAGTCTTAGCATTAACGTGGGACGGGGGGACGATTCAGAATTTGTGGGCTTTCAAGTTCGTATAAACGAAATGCGTGGTTCAGAAATACATACGTATTAAGACAAACTAAGCAGTATAATACATATCATGTAGGGTTCACAAAGTACTGACTGATATAATGAGATTGCCATGGAGAGTCCAACCATGCTCATATTAAGTGTATCCTGTCAACAATCAAGGGACTTTTGAGTTCATTTTCGGAAGAATCAAATTCCGCAACTCTGACCTTCTCATGCAGAAGGAAGAGGCACATCCTCTCGGATGGTATTAAATAAATGATGAGATATGAGCTTTTCTTCAGCCATCTTCGCGAGGAGGTTACGCATCCAGGTGCGGCTTTCGGTGGTAACTTGATCATATTCTACATCCGCTGCGAGCTCAAGCAGTTGCTCGCGCTGTTCCGATGTGAATATTCCCAAGGACATTGTCTGGTTGCGTGAGCGTTCCTTTGTGTTGACTTTGAGCGCATTGGGATAATGGTACTGGTGCCAGTGCCCGTGCATCTCGAGCTGGGTGATATCCCAGACTTCAAAGCCACCGCTAAGAGTGGCGTTCACCCAATAGATGAGGACGTGTCTGGGATTACTGGGGTTAGAGTCCTTGTGAAGCCCAGTAGCCTGCAGAAAGACTTCTTTGTCTGACCAATCGTCGCCATATACCTGGGACAGATCACCAGAACCTCTCGTCGGCATAGGGGTAGTTGGCATGGTGTGTGAGGGTTGTGTGAGAGTCGTCGGAAGAGACTGTTGATTGTCAGGATAACCTCGATGTCGCATTCTTTTTATTCTACAATGTGCCACAACTATGCCACTGTGGCCACGATTATCCTGTGGCCGCAATGCTCCCGAAACGCAGTCATTCTTGTCCATTGTGTCGGCTATTAACTTGTAACAACACAACATGTAGACTGTAATTATATTGGTGAGAGCAGGGAATTCAATGAGACGTTGTAGGAATGGGCAGTTTGTTCTATATTCATGTCCGTCAGCCGATGATTACCAGCTGTCTTGTGACGTCAACCTACTGTCCATGGTTACGACTGGTCATGATCTTGGCTCCGGAGGCAGGGATACATAGATAGAGCCGGTCGGATCCCTCATGGTAGGAATCGAAACCTTGTGAGGCTCCTCGGCTACCTGCGCCAGTTCCGCCCAAGCTGTATACTCCAGAGTGTCAACATCTATTGATAGAAATGTTGATAAGCCACGTAGTACAGTTCTGATGACGAAGGCTCAGGTCTGCGATTCGGTTTCGAGAGAAAGGACGGTTGAAGACGGATCATAGAATGCTAAAGCTTGAAAAGTGATTGATAACTCACAGATGTCAGAGTGCTAATGTTATCACGTAATTGTCAGAGATTGGTCGCAGGTTATACGAGGCGACATTGAGCTCATGGGGATACCGCATTCGCATTGATGGGAGACTCCGACTTGGAGATAAGATACATTCCGATGCGACTTCAGTTCCCGTTGATGTTACCGGGAGCGAATGGGAGAAGGGCTTCAAGGCATCGCCATGTACTTGATGTTTAGTAACTGTTATGACGCATCTGCATCTGACACACCTGACCAGTACTCTCCCTGATGACAGCTGCGGCATGCACGTGCTGGAAAATTGTATCTTTCTTCCGATACCAGATTCGCAAGCATGTTTCACGGCATGTCAGAGGTTGTATGTACATATGTATATGCCGAATGATGATCGGTGAAGGGCCGTATACGAGATGGCGCCGGAGAAGTGCGGCCATTAACACCTGACAACGTTACATTGGTTCTGCCGTTTGAGGTCATGATTCATGTCAAATGGGGCCAGATTTTGCGTTACAACGTTCGATGGCACTTGGACACATGTGGGATACAATCTCCGCGTTATGCTAGGCAGTGTCAGCCTGAGGCCAATGCTTTCAGAGGCTGAGTAGATCGTGTCAATGAAAAGGACCAGGAAGAGCTTCGCGACTAGCACCGATTGATGTGCTGTACCACATGAGTTCGTCACGCAGGGTGGGTTGTGCGCAGTGCCGGGATATATGTTGGAGCATTAACTACACCAACACATACACAGGTCCTCACGGACTCATATGACGTGTCATGGAGCACATAGGAATATGTAGGAATTTGACTCCCTTTCTTGTTGCTCTCGGGTTTAATGCGTAGCCAGTAGGGTCGAATGGCAATTAGATGGCAGTACACTCTGAAGCGGTGAAAGAGGGCTTGGTTGCTTTGACATGAAGATAAAAGGATACTCACTAGCGCTGGATCCTCGTGGAGACCCCGAGGTAAAGTTCTAGAGGATGATCAAATGGAGGTCAATGATGTGACTAGTAGTAGCGTCCCTATTCGGATATTAATTGCACGCCGATTGTTGTTGTAAGTAATGCTCGCCAAGTTAGCGCTTGAGACGGTCATGGTCAACCACTCGAGCAGGAACGCCGAGAGCGAGAGCGATGGTCTACTACTTATCCTGTTCGAACGGAGTTAGTATCCCTCGAGGGAGAATTTGGTTTGAAACTGGGAAATCAATGTGAACGGAATTCAACGTGAGAAGATTGACTTCTGCAACTAAGCTGTACGTAAATCGAACCCGTCTCAGATTCTTTGCGCAAATTGTTAACACCCATCCCATTCATGGTTGCAACGTTGCTCGCTTCCCTGAACCCATAAATTCAACATTCTTTCATTACGCTCTCTCAGCTTTTGCTCTTGTATCCCACCAGCTCCAAAAAAATTTCCCTGTACTAAGTACAAGATCCTAATTCAAACCCCTTTCACGATGTTCACTTCTAAGACTCTTGTTTCTCTCGCTCTCCTTGTTTCCCGCCTCGCGTTTGTTCAAGCCGGTATCTATGTCAGTCGTCATCGCTCCATTTAAATTTATTTTTTTGGTTGACTTTTTTTGTTTCAAATAGGTAACGAGCCCGGTACAATCAACTGTTTGCCCAGCAGGTCAGCCCTGCAGTGTGGAGTGGGTTGACGATGGTCAGAGCCCTCTCTTGAACGACATTGGAGAATGCACTGTTGGCTTGTACAACGGCGAGATGGTAAAGAGATTGCAGCCCCAGTCAACTACTCACGCATGTCGCCTTGCAGGTCCTGACGCAGTCGCTTCCCTCCGTCAACGTTGCCAGCGCGCATTCCTTCACATTCACCGTACGTGTCTTTCATTTCATATTTATCGATTCGCTAATCACCGCGCATAATTACACAGCCCAGCCCATCCACTAGCGGCGATGGCGGCTAGTGTGTTCAACCATTATTTCAACTTGAGTTGCATTTAATAAGTGACGCAGTTACCTGGTGTTCACCTCAACCAGCGACGGTTACCAGAGCTGGTCCGGTACTTTTAGGTTAGTATGTTTTCCTTTGTTCAATATATCATCGATGACAATGCACCTCGCAGCGTCAGCGGTTCGACTGGAAGTTCTACCTCTGACATCACTTCAACATCTGGATCTTCGACACTTGGAGGTAGTTCGACTGGACTCTCCTCCTTAGCTGGAAGTACGACCTCAGTGGCTAATTCTACCTCTACAGGTGGTTCTAGCTCTGGGTCAGTGGCTTCATCTACTCTGCTTTCAAGTAGCTTCATATCAAGTAAAACTACGCTCGCTGTCCCATCTAGCACACAAACTTTGCCCTCCGTTGCAAGCACCCTTTCCGTGTCCTCTACTGTTTCTTCTGGCACAAGCACCCACAGTACCTCTGCTACCACCGCTGCCACCAGCGCGACCCCGTCGTCAACCCAATCCGGCGCTGCCACTCGCGCTGGTGCTTCAACCTCATTGGCCGGTGGTCTTGTTCTCGCCTTAGCTGGTGCTCTAGTATTCTGAAGTGTTGGTAGTTTAGAGGGTTAGAGGACTGTGATCGTGATACCTTCATTTTCTCTTTGAATACCCTTTCAGAGACGTTTTGCCAATGGCGATGCATGACACTTTATTGTATTATTCTTGACAGCTTTCACGTGTTTGTTTGTTGATATCATAGCGATTAATTGATCGGCGTCAATCTTACGAATGGAGAACTGCGAATGGCCAAAGGACTCAGTCTTGGATTGAAAGATCACCATAGCTATGGAATCATACTACCTATACTATGTACCTAGAAACGGGAAAGGGATTAGGTAGGGTAATGTCTAGAAAAGTGCATGTGGAACTGTAAATAAGAGAGCTCACACCTCGGTCTTATATAAATCACAAGATTGAAGACAGAGATTGTTTCAGGGTAGAGCCATTGATATACTGATACTTGGAGACGGAGAATCAAAGGGTGAACGTATGTGAGACGTATAACGAGTGTAACAGAAAAGGATGGGTAGTCAACTCGACAACCCGGCTGCCGGCGGCACTTATGGCCTCGTGGATTAATTTAATGGGTTCAGTTCTTGTGAGCCTTGTGGCACATTCAATTGCCTCTCGATTTAGCCTCTACCCTCCGAGTCGTGTATTTGTTTTGCATGATCAATACACTCTGCATGCATTGGGTCTGCTTAGGGAAGACTACTAGGCGTGGTTGCAATTCACTTGCGAACCTGCGGATTAATAAATATTGTAACGAGCAGCAACTATAAAGAATGCAAGCACAGAACTGGCGAGCAACCGACGAAAAAACAAATCCGCGCCTAGCTTGAAAATTCGCACTTTTTACAGTGAGTGTCATCCCACTAACCTGTGGATCCGGCTTATGACACTGATGATCTCTTGATGATCTTCTTCCTGACATCTACAGCTGTCAGTCCTCTTCGTGTATGAGCCACACCCAGCCCCGAGACCACTGTGTAATCGAGAACAGTTGGTTGGACTGACAAGAGACATTGCAAACTTTCTCGTCGCCTAGTGGCGGGCCATCAGAGAACCTGTGAGAAGAAGATATCGTCATATATCGTTATATATCGTAATATATAGGAAAGGTTTTCGTCACATTGTAATATAAAGTGATATAAAGCAATATATGACCATGTAAAAGCACCATAATCAGCATAATCCCCAGCAAGAACTCACCGGTTTACTGATGCGCCTACATGGCAGAGGGGGTAGAAACATCAAATTCTCTTCCCATCCAACTTCATCGACTTCCTGCATCCATAGGTGAATCACGTCAAAAGAGTGGCTTCTCCTCCCGGGCCTTGGTCGTAGTAGGACACTCGTTTGGAGGTTGCTCAGTTTATGTTAATGGCGGTTCAGAGACCTGTCGATTCTCACAGTATTGCACAGGACGTTTACTGCGCTGCATTTTCCTGCCTTGTTCTCCTCCATGATCCTCGTCGACGCGATGATTGATACTTACCAAGAAATTGCTTGGGAACACACGCAGTGCTTGGTCGGGGCTCCGTCGATAAGGCGCGATCAATGGCCATCACGGTGATTAAAATTTCATTGTGCTCTTGTGTCGGAGTACTACTGACTGTGATTGCAGAGAGGACGCTCTGCGTTCCTTCAAATCTTCACCTATGTTCTTCGCTTGGCACTTCGACGCTTCCCGTTCACGAGGCCCTTGTTCTTGCGAACCCACGAGCTAGCCGTGAAACATGGGAATTGATGGAAACGGTTGACGAAAAGATTGAGCTACTGTGAATTTTTGCCGGAAGATCAAGCCAGGATGTGTAAGTCAAGGCGGCAGGACCAAGTTTGCTGACTGATAGGCATTATCCAACAGGTGGAAGCGAGGAAGTAGCGTGCTCGGCGCCGACCCGCCAATTCATCTAATGTCATCTTCAAGACGTATGGCCATCTCGTCTGTATCTCTTCTTGAACTGTTATATAACTAACATAATTGTGAACTAGATCCCTCAAGAGGCTCTAGAAGAGCTTGATATGTTGACATGAAGGACTAATCGTTTGTCATCTAACTGTTCACACAGCACGAGTCATTGCCGACTTTCTGCACAGGTAATACGTTATTTCTTCAGGGAAATAAAAGCTCTAGAATCGTGTATAAGAACGAGCCGGAAACTTTTGGAACCATCACGGCACTGAAACTTTGACTAGGCCCTGAATAATATCACATAGAGCATGACATTGGTGTTTTCGAGACATTGAAAGTAAATGGGGAGAAAAACGAATCACTAGCTAATCGTGAGTAACTTGACGGAGCAACCGTCGCCAAAGATCCATCATATTTATGCAAGGTTGTAGGGACAGAGCTTTAAATTCGAGCTCGCTCCAAAACTAAAGTCGCGCCGCTGGTACCTGA